AGTATGAATCTCTCTTCGGCCGTCGTCTAGCGGCCGTGCGCGCGAGAGTACACGTCGAATCGCGTCCTCCCGCGCTCTATCGTCGGAATACCTTCCCTCCCGCAGTCTTAAAACGAGCTCGAGCACGTTTTCCCCAACTGCGGTTCGTAATAGGATTCACATTCTGACGGGGAAATAAATATCGTTAGACGGGCGTGCGCGCGCGCGCGCGCGCGCGAATAAGAACTCGAGGATCTCTTTTTAAAGTACATCGACACAGTTTTGAAATTTTGCTCCGTTTCCTCTTTTTCTCTGTCTCTCTCTCTCTCTCTCTGATCGGATTTCAATTCTTCGCAATACGGGCGCGACCCACGGGAGAGAATTCAATGGAATCGCTCGCACAATACCGTGGAAATGTCCTTCGTTGACCCGCACCGGTGCCGTTTTGCAGGGCATTATCTCGACCGCAATGTAACTTTACGACGGTGAGCGAATGCGCCGCACGACCGCGAGCCCGCGGCCGGCCCCACCTCGAACTTTCGCTCCTGCGTATTTAATAGGATAATACAGTTGCCTTACCCCGTTGTAAGTTTCCGCGGTCGTTTGCACGGCGTCACTGCGCGCGTCTCCTTCGCGTTTACTCGCGCGCGCGCGCGCGCGCGAGTACATTTTACACGAAATTCCAACCAAGACGTCGCGCGCGGCTGTATGGAAACTAATTTTTTATTCAGCCCCAGTGTTCACTCCCAGTGCACGTGGAGAACGTACTTCGCGCGCACATGTGCGCTCAAGTTTAGGGAATTTAAAACGGGCGAAGTAAGGAATATATACTCCCCGTTGAAGAAATTTGCATAAGTGAGGCACAGATTAATTCCGTCGGAAAAACGCTCTTCTCTCTGTCTCTCTCTCCCTCCCGTCCTAATTGGAGGAGAAGATCTCATTAAAACGCTCGGAGGTCTTCGACTCGCCGTGAGAAATTGCGTGGGACACGAAGAGAACGAAGGTGGGTCTCTTTCTCTCACGGCGCACGTCGGGCCCGAGCCGAGGAAAAGTCGAGATAGCCGAGAGGTGAAATGATAAATTAAACCGACCGCGGTAACGCTCTCAGGCCGCAAAACAAGGCGGGTTAAGCTGCAGAATTATGAAAGTTCCAAGACTAATTGTGAAACTTTTCGCGATGTACAAAATTGCTGCAGACTCGCACACGGAACAGCGAGAGAAAGAGATAGAGAGAGAGAGAGAGAGAGAGAAAACGTGGGGTCAGTCCTCGCGTTGCAGCTCGGGGCGAAGTGCCGCGAGATGGGCGCCGACTTGACGAGATAAAGAGAGCTTTTTCCCTTACCGCGAGAAAAGCGACCGGCACCATGAAAGAGACCGAAAGGGAGAAAGATAGAAAGAGAGAGAAAGAGAGACTGTAGTTTCGAGTCCGAGTTCGCTTCATTCGTCTGGATTTCGCCCGAAAGAAAGAGACCGCGTTTGTTCAAAGTTACGGTCGATTAAATTGCGCTCAAGCGCGATTCGAGCTGTAATTTCGCTCCGCGAAAGATTTAACCCCTCTGCGCGCGAGAGAGAGAGAGTTCTTATGAAAACTCGTGCGTGCAACGTTTGGATTACACACGCGCGTGAATTAGAAGAAGTAGCTTCTTCGAAGCGTAAAAAGAAAAGACCTCGAACGCGCTCGGGAAGGTTGTCGGTGCAAATATTTGAGAGAACGCGTTCTCTTGATAAAACTATTACGTAAAACATCGCAGTCTCTGCGTTACGAGAGAGAGAGAGAGAGAGAGAGAGAGAGAGAGAGACGGAGAGAAAAATGTGCGTTAATGAAAATCCTGAAAGCGAGAGCTGCGTAAAATCACTTACTTTCCGTTCATTATTTTGAGCAAATAATTTTCAAAAGCTCGCGCTTTGAACTCTAAATCGATGCAATCTGCATCGTCACGCAGATATAACTATCTCCTGCTCTCTATCTCTCGCTCTCTCTCTCTCTTATTGCGAGCCAAACGTCCTTTATTTACCTTCGCAGCTCGAAGAAGAAGAAGAGCGCGGAAGAGAAGGCAAACGCGCGGCGAGGGCTGAGAGGAAGGATAATGTAATTCTTGACAATCTCTTTCAAGACGCGTCTCGTAAAAAGTCTTTTGCACGCGGTAATCTCGTTCGAGCTGTTTGCTCTCCAATACGTCGCGCTCTCGCGTAGGACAAAAAAGAAGGACAGGGTTGAAGCGTTCGACGAGCAGTCGACGGGGAATAGAAGCAAGCGGCCCATCGTCGTCGTCGTCGTCGTCGTCGTCGTCGTCGTCGTCGTCGTCGTCGTCGTCGTCGTCGTCGTCGACGCCGTCATTCTACGACGGGGTGGAAGAAGAAAAAAACGCCTCAGGCCGAATAACATTGATCCAGCTCGTTCGGAGTCAACGGAGTCGACGACCTTTACGACCTTTGATTATTTAGTTCGAACCGCTTTTCCCGCGCGGTGGTCTCCGACGTAATTCGTCGGAGCAACTCGCGCGACGGTGTCTCTCCCGTGGGAAAAGCGGACTTAAAGAATAAGTAGCGAGAATATATCGCTGACAGAGGGAGAACGAGAGAGTCGCCTGTGTGTAAAGTCAACTCCCTTCTCCTCTCCCCACTTTCGCAATTTAAAAAAGATGAACGTCGCTCCTCCCCCCCAAAAAAGTTCCTCGGAAAGCGTTGTGAAAAGTTCCTCATCGGATATAAGAGAGAGAGAGAGAAAGAGAGAGTTTTTGTCGTTTCAGACCCCAATCAAAACGCTACTATTGACCGAAAGACCATTTTGTGCGAGAGTGCAAAAAAAGTTACTAAAAAAAAAATAATAATAATAATAAGTATGTAATCAATTTTCTTCCACCTAGTTTTTCCGATTTTCCCGAAGTCACGTCTTCATCGTGCGTCCGAAAATTACCACTCGGTTCGATGTTCACCGCAGGGTTCTTGTAATGCCGGCCACCCCACGTCGTCAGCTGCTTCATGAAACGCTCGTTTCCGGTGCGACGCTTACGAGAGAGGATGGAACGGGGAGCCGCGCGCGCGCGGCTTAGTCGCGCAAATCGGATTAATTATTTCCCAACGTGGCCGGTTGTGGCCGAAGGCGCGGCCCTTTCTTATCGCATGAACAAGTATCGGGGAGGAGCGGGGAAAAGAGGAGGATGAGCAAGCGCGCCAACCGCCCTCACGTGTTTGCTTTCTGGTCTCCGTCAAGATCGATGGCGCCAAGCCACGACGCGCGAGGCGCCGATGCGACTATCCGTGTAAACGTTGCGCGCCATATCTACCGTGCGCGCGCGTGGCAGCGCAAACATTGCACGCCGAAATTACACGCCACGCGACATCATCACAAACACACGCGCAGACTCGAAGGGCGCTTGAAGACGAAGACGCGAAGCGAAAGCGAGGACGCGCCTAACGAGGCTCCTCGTTTCGTTTGCCGCGCTCTAGGTAGTCCCGCCGCTAAGGATAATAAGGATTTTGATTGAGCAGGTTGTTTGCCATGTCCCTATTGACTAACGACGATCTCGCAATACGCCTCTGACGACACACGAGCGGGGCTAACGTAATGATGCGCACACGTCAGCGCCAACTTTATCAATGTCGAAACTATCGCGAAAACTATCGCGCGCGCTACAATTTCCCTTCTGCCAAATTTTCATTCAAATGTCCAATCTCAGAGATCAGTAAATGTTATATACAGGTAAAAATTTTCTATAGTCGTCGAATTATTACTTAATTGTTAAATAAATTGGTACGATAAAAAATAATTGCACGCGGAATTTGTGTCATTTAAAAAAAAATATTTAATAAAATTTTGTTATTTCATTAATTAACACAAAACCTATATATAAACTGCAATTATTTTTGCACCAACTTATATATAATAATTATTTGTTAACAGTTTCTATTTATTAATGATTTAAATTTATTAACATATTTAAACGTTATTTAACGGTTTACATTTAATTATTTGTTGGCAATATGAGGAAGACCAAAAACAGTGTAACGTTTATCACTTATTATTAAACTCATTTGGAAACATATGATTTGCACGTCAACAACAACCGTGTTTGGCCATTGTTGTTTGCCCCGTTTTGTATCTGATGTACGCAAACAAACTTCCGTCGCTGACGGAAAGCTTTTCATTTCATCGAGCTTCGTCTCGTCGAATTGACAATCCCCGTTGTCGTAAAAATCGACGTTTCTTTGCGGACTGCGCGAGGAGAAAAAAAAGGAAAAGCTGTGTATCTCCTACCTTGGAGAAAGATCAATTTCGCGAGAATGTTCCGCGCGCGCGTGAATTCACTTCGATTTCCGGCGGGCGTACAATAAAGTGCAACAGGAGCGCGCGCATTAATGCCGACGGATCCTGACGCGCGTTGGCCGCGCCACAGCGCGATATTAGTCGGCTACGCTCAATCGCAATAACACCTCCCTCCTGGGAGCGCTTCCCACCCTTCCAATCAGCATTTACATCGATGAATGCCTCTATACGGACATACCGAATGGCCGGTAAACGCGGGACGGATACGTCGATAACGGATTGCACTCCGTTACATTCACAGCGCGGCGGCCCAACCCCCTCCCTATCGAAGAAGACCTGAATTACGAAAGCGCGTAAACGTCCGGCGCATATCGAATGCGCCTTCCGATCCGGCTTTGCAGCCGCCGCCGCCGGATGCATTACGGATGCACGTGCGCGTTCGAGATCAAAGGGTGAAATACCAAAACTCGGCTCGACTGCTCTAATGCACTCCGAACAACCGGACGAAGAAAGGAAATAATGCAGATACGCTGGAAAGGCGAGGGACGATCTCTCGCTCGCGCGCGCACAATCCGTGAAAATTCATTTGCTCGCGCGCTGATAAAAACAACGCGCGAAATTGGAACACATAGGAATTTATTTGATAGCGTTTTCGATCTTTTCGAGTCGCTCCCGGAGCGATTAATGACGTAGCGATTCTTGCCAGTCGAAAACGATATTGTTTTTTTAATAAATGTCATGCATTTCTACTCACACATATGATAGAGAACCAAATTCTTCGTGCTGCCTTCGCTGTATTTCTGGAACGCTCGATTGGTGGGCGCGAACACGGTCACGTGACGATACGCGAGGGTGGTATTGGCCACTTGGCTAGCTTCCAGAAGCTGATAAAACTGCAACAGAAAATGGAACATCCAATGAAGCTTCCGCAAAGCGTGTGTCTGACATATTATTATCTCTCCTGTCGTCGTGTTGTAACGCCAATTAACGGACGCCGCGTGTACACGGTGCTGAAAAAAAAAGAAACAGCGCTCACGGGCACTTACGTATATCATGTACACGTCGCCCAATCGCGAAGCACAGAATCAAACGATCGCGGCGCTCAAAGAGGAACCGGCTTACAACCGGGGAGTCGTTAAATTAATCATCGTTCCCGCATGATAAAGCAGGAAACGAGCCCGGAACGAGCCCCGATCGATTCCGCTCTTCTGAACGTCGAGCTCTTACGCGCGAGCCCTTCTCCTCCTTCTCCTCCTCCTCCACTGTATAGAGAAGGGGACGAAAAAAAAATCCACCCACCAACGAGAATATGCCTCGAGCAATTCGCATCAGCGGGGATTAAAGTAGCAGTTCGCATCGAGTTGGAGCAAAGTCGAAAGGGGGTGGGTTTCGACGCGAGAGCGGCGGAGCACGCGCGCTAAAGCATTTAATCCGACGTGTCGGTTGAAATTTTCCGAGAACTTTCATCCCCCACGACGAGCGGCGGCACCGGCACAAAGGAACCTCGTTAGTTATCAATGCTTAATTAGCCGGATGCAAAGTCCGATCTACCGACGGGGTATTACGACCCTTTCTCCGCGCATGTACCTCGACCAGGTTTGTTTCTCGTTCGGCTCGAACCGGGCTCGTCGCCTGAAAAAAACTGGGGTGGGAAGAGGGAAACGCGTCGCGGGAGAATCGAGAGCTTTTAAATTCTTTTTAAATATCGCCCGATTCGAAAAGGACGCTTTGAGAATGTTATCGGATTCTCTTTGTCACACAATTGTTGCCTAGAATTATCACACTTACATTTTCTTTCTCTCTCTTTCTCTCTTGTTGTTTCTGCTATTACTCTCTTAATTTACTGTAATCGCTTTTTCGATACTGACGACGAACATATCGAGCGAGCGCAAAAGTTCTGAGATGAATTTCGCGACAGAAAAATGGATCAATTTTATATTAAAAAAAAAAAAAAAAAACAAAACAATTAATTCGCCAAGCCCAACCGCGAGAGAACACAATGGGAATTACTTGGTGAAATGAGCGAGAAACCAGGTTTTAATTAAAATTATCAAGATTCAATTCATTCGCGATATTCCGCTACGATAATTTCTGACAAGCTGAACAATCCTTGTCTACAATTTCTATGATCTTCATGAGAATAACACCTTCAGAGTTTTCCCCTCGAACGCACAGATATTTGTTGTCATATCCGAACAGTGTTCACCGTTTTGGCTTCCTTACAGCATGCTAAAGCGGTGGAAGGGATGCGCACAACAGCAGCGAGTTTTAGCAAATTCTACCTGAAGACCACCGCTTTAGCATGCTGTAAGGAAGCTAAAACTGTGAACACTGTATCCGAACAGACCGTTTCGACGCGACGGAGTTTTTTTTTCGCTCGTCTAAGATTCTCCGAAAACAACTGGAAAATGACGCTTGTCATCAGACTCGTAAGATTGTTATTACGCTGTATCTTCGTCAAAATATTTAAACAGTGAAATTATGAGAAAATGATATTTCACGTATTTGACTGCGCGCGCGTGTGTGTGTGTGTGTGTGTGCGCGCGCGGTAACTCATTTACACAGTATCAAATCAGTTGCCAATTAACCTCATTTGTTGTCGTATGTTCTGTAAATATAGATAATTAAACAATTTCAGACGCAAAACTGTTTAGCATCCATACCTAGTATGACATTATCGCAAATAATCAAAGTGTCCAAGTTAAGCAAATACCTGCAAGTGAAACTGTACATCGTAGAACACCACGTGCCGAATCTGAAGCATATCAGAAATATTCAATTGTTGTTATCCTCTGTCGAGGTTGTATGACACAAATGTGTAATACAATAATTATTTTATTATCTTTTTTTTTTTTTTACGTGCATGCCGACACGCAAAATTTTTCATTTGATCGAACAAAACAAAAATCTGAATATATTCCATCTTTTGTTTTGAAAGACGCAAGAGATATACTTGATACATCTGTTGAACATTATCGCGAACGTGTGCTACATAGACAAGGGCGTCGAGAAGATAGCCGAGGAGAAGGAACTAGTCGAATTTGTTTTCTGTTGTTTTGGTGTCTGCAATAACAAATTTCAACTGCAACAGAAACTCTTTCAAGTTCTTCACTTGATAGGGTGCGCGATTCAGGCAAATCCCGCATCAAAGTGGATACATCATTTGACGAATCCTTCTCATTTTTTGGGAATCAACATGATAAATTTACTGGCAAATTGTCCCAACAAAACTAAGGGAGTACTTGGTACCGTTACATCATAAGTTACATTACGAGTCACAATTATTTTCTTATAAATCATTTTGGTTCCACTTTCTGTTTCTACCCAAACAAGATAATAACGAGTGAAAATTTTTCTTATTACAGAAAGTCCGTTGACAGAAATGATAATAGCAATGGACACGTTGTTCGAATTGGAAATGCCGGACGCAACCAGTGTCTTGGAACATCTCTTTAAAATAAACGACTTGGTAACCGCATTGCTCAAATGGTTTGCCGTTGCCATCGTCAAGAGCGAGGGCGATCGAGACGACACACGAAACATTTCGGACAATCAGTGGTTCATCATAGATAAGTGGCTGACGATAATGATTGCCGTCACGAATTTAAAATCGTACAGACGCACTTACGGGAACAACACGGATCACATAGATCTCATGATTTTTATCGACACCTTAAACATCATACATCGCTTTTACAACAATAGTTTATTTTATGCCAGTAGAACAAAGTAATATTTTTTATATTAGCGCGCATATAGATTTATTTTATTTATATGTGAAATTAGTATTTCTATAATATTTGAATCACACTTTTTACAGCTTGTCAGAGAGAAATCAACCCTTCTTACCGACGCAACATGTCGTTGCAGCTTTTGACAAGAGCATAACGCTGTCATTAAGATTGACGCGTGATAAAATATTGCCACAAAATGCATTAGTCATGCACGATATTCTGGAAAACTTTTCAAAACTCGTCACGCACCAACCAATTTTGAACAATTCAATTGCAGGTACACGATCTTATATATTGCGCACAATCTTACTGTCTTGTTTTTTTTCTTACAACGAAATGTGTTATTATTGCGTACATTTTAATAAAAAAAAAAAAAACCTTTTATGTTACGAAAACGCAAGACTTTTCAGGCCTGCTCATTAATAAAAAGTATCTTGAACGATACTTGCTGCAACATATTACTCATTGGAGTTGCAAAACCATAATGGAGATGTTCTCTCTTTGTTGCTACATAGGAGATACCTTGCGACAAAGTATCGTCTTGCCACGTGATATATTGAAAAAAGTATCTAATGTAGAGGTTAAATGTAGATATGTTTTCTATGTATATTGATACGAAAAAAGTATAAAATAAACATCGTGGACAGTGCACCGTTAAGTGATATACTAGCAGGCAAAATCGAACGGCTATCTATAATCGTTGATTGAAAAACAACGAAGTTGAAAGTTTTAACTTTGATATAAAACTATGTAATTTTTAACAGCTTTACACACATATATGTGTAAAGTTATGTATACATATATATACTTATGTAATATATATACGATATATATTACATACATGTAATATATATACGATATATATTACATACGTAATACATATACGATATATGTTACATACGATATATTATATATTACATAAAACAAATATGCATGACTAAAAGTTCTCATAGTTGTATTTGTATTAATAATTGCTATATATATCGCGTAATTTTTCACTTTTACATCTCAATTTTCTCCCGTCGAACAAAGTTTATTCTCCTTATTCTGAATTAATTTTTTCACGCAGAACAATTCCCTAATCTTCTAGTATCAAACTTGACGGAACACCGTGCGCGTGAGATATATATGTAACAAGAGAAACATGTATATAACTTGACAAATAATAAATAAATAACCTAGAGGCATTGAAAACACATTGCCATGTTTTATCGAATTACTGTATATAAGAGAGTTATCTACACGTATAAGAGAGTTATATAAGAGAGTTATCTACATAAATATTATTTTACACAATTATACATTATACAAATCAAATGCTTGTGTTTGTGTTCGAATTATTTTGCATTATATATATTTGGTAAAGCATTGCGACAAACAAAACCATCATCGTCAGATCGAGGCGAGGGCTTAAGAACGCGCATGAAAAATGTGCGCGCGCTTACGACTCCGAAAAAAACAAAAAAAAAAAACAAAACGTAGAATAACGAACTCGCCTCGCGTTAGACGCGAGAGAAGTATGTCGACCGGTATGACAAAACTCGCGCGCTTTGTCGATTTTATGACGCGTGTGTGGCATTCGAACAAGTTTTCGCCGCACAAAAGGCTTCCGATTCTCGTAAAACTCGGCACCGAGTATCGTAAAAACGCGATTATTTCGTCTCATTGCTCGAAACTCCCGCCGCAGTCGAGAAAGCTATGTCGGCACTCGACTCCATAATAAACTGCTAAAGTTTTCCGTGTACGCATGGGGGTTGTACATTGTCGGTGATTTTTCCGCCGCGATACGGCGCTCTAATACACAGACATACAATCGTCCCGAGCCTGTCGAAAGAGAGAGAGAGAGAGAGAGAGAGAGAGAGAGAGAGAGAGAGAGAGAGAGAGNTGTCGAAAGAGAGAGAGAGAGAGAGAGAGAGAGAGAGAGAGAGAGAGAGAGAGAGAGAGAGAGTTTGTTGGAGTAATAGAGTAATTTCAGCATTTTTTTATAACCGCCCGGTTTCTGTGATTAACATTCATTCTGCGCATCCAGCGTTAAATGTTTTTTTCTCTTCTTCTCTTTTGTTTTACTCTACCGCGTTTTTTTCCCGCGGAATTATTACAACGGCCGCTGTTTCAATTCCGCGAGACCTGTTTATCTTGTATTTATTTGATGTATCAAGCCGCTCTCGACAGCATGGCAAATTGCATTTCGATCGTGGTAAACGGGAGATTTGTCGGTTATTAAAGTCGCAGAGCTTCTATAAGATTGAGAACGGCGCCGAGAGTGGGAAACTTCGTTACCGTAGCCATATATGCTAATTAGTACACGGCGGCATAATTGGCACAGAGAGATAGAGAGAGAGAGAAATCGGAGCAAGGTTTGTGTGGTATTAGCTCGCATCGGTCGGCGCCCGATGGAGGAAATTTCTGATTAATTAGTGGAAGTTGTATGAGAGTATGCGGTCTATTTAGTCGATTCTATATTTCATATAATAATCGACACCTCGCACGCGTTTCCTGTGCGATCTGTAAATTTGTATGTACGTGACGTTTTAAAAAATTATTGCGAGAGAAGAGAAAACCAAAGGGAATCTCATAAAAATAAATCCGAGTTTTCGCCAAAGACGATAAGCGAGAATTCTCTTCTTTCCCGTCTTTCGGGATCATTCGGGGATATCGGTTCGATTCTCGTTAACGGCGCGAGGGGCGCCAATTTGTGAAAAATAATGGTGAAACATGGTCGCGCGATCTTCTTTATCTCGTTCGCCTCGCCCCCTTTATCCTCGCGGCGCTCGCTCCGATTCCCCTCTCGGCTCCCTTTAACGAAGCTCTTGAGTAATGGAGACATGTCGTGACTGTCGGCAATTAATGCGAGTTGGTTCGTCGAGGCGAGCCTGGAAAAGCAACGAGGGATCGGTCGAAGTGGAAGGAGCAGGCAGCAGACAAAAAGAAAAAGGGACGGGGTGAAAACAATCCCGCGGATGAAAGAAGGTTCCGAGCTACTTGGTAATCGAGACGGTTCGCGTGCCGATTGTTTCGATATAGAGATTTTGCGAACGAGATAAAAGAAGAGCGACGGAGGGTGGATACTTTGTTTAAAACAAATCTTTCACCTTGTTTCAAGTTTACCCTCACTGTTTAATTATGTTATCGCTTTGATAAGAGATCATTTGCCGTTCATTTGAATGAATTTCGACGCGGGAGCGCACGTTTCTCCTCATCAGATTCCCCGTACGCATGGAAATGAGCGAACTGTGTGTGTCGGTCGAAAAAATTTGCATGTAAATTCACACTCGATTGTATTTATTCGCGGTTCCACTAACGAGAGTTCGTCGCATCGTAAGCTCGGATAGTCCAAGAGCGCAAGAACGACGACGTTTCGCGAGCGCATAGCGCGGCAGAATATGTATTACGTATTATTAATGCGAGCAAATATTCGCATTTGTAAATATTCTCCCGGCATTTTCCGGCCGACGAGTAAAAACAATCGCGCGGCGCTGCTGACGCAACTGCTCGAGCAGAAAATAAACGATTCGGAATATTTCTCTGTGTGAAGCGCGCGGCAGGTCGCGCGAATCAGAAGCGCCGCGCGATGAGTCGACTATGAAAATTAAATTAAATTCGAAATGTGTAGTCTCTGTACTGTTTTTCTCTTCCTTTCTCTCTCTCTCTCTCTGTGACGCAGATTTTATCCGTATTATACGCTTCTGAAATATCGCGCGCGACACGAAGATAATTCCGCAGTGAAGTTTCGCCGCTCCGGGATGGAATATTGTTTCGCGCGCTATTTTCTGAAACCTTATATTTAGCGTATATACGAGAAAGGACACGCGCGAAGAAAGAAATTTTCTCGAATATAATCTACACGGTTTTCACGCACGTCAAGTGCGATGTTTCAAAAAATCAAGGAAAATCCTCGACGAATATTCCCGGACTGCTGATGAAGATTAATGCAACGTAATCATGCGTTGGAACAACGACGCGTGTAATAAATAAGTATAAGTACGACATGAATCTTAATTTCACGTTTCATGTCTTAATTTATATCTACGTTTCAGCCCCCCGAAAGAGAGAGAGAGAGAGAGCGAGAGAGAGGTTGTGTGTGTTGCAGTCGCTCCGCGCGCGATATTTAATCTCACGCATACATCGCATACACCGGTTTGTATTCCGTTTAAATCGCGCGCTGTTACATTGCTCTCACGTTTACACACACACACACTGGAAAATATATTCGAAAGCATTTAATTAAAGCTCCAGTGTTTGTATTTTCGTTATCCGGTGCTGCGCATTTACATCTCACCGCGCACGCCAATTTAATATAACAAAAGGAATAATAGTGACTTCAACTTTCATATACGTGCTCGATATTACGCGAGCGCGCGCGCAAAACCGACATTATTCAGCAATCAATCAATCTCATGTCTCTGATCTGGTCGAAAATTAACGATCGTAATTGGATTATTAGCGCAATTCCCAAAAGTGCGCATAATATTTTCATTTTCGCGAAGCTCGTCACAACGCGCTTCGTCGTGTGTGATATGTTTCCTCTCATTTTTTTTTTTTTTTTTTTTTGTTCCGCCTCTCGCGCCGCGCGTCTCTTCAACCGGCAATCGTGCGTCTTCGTCGCCGGACCGAACTGAACTGGAGTTCGCGCCGCGCTCCGCTAATTGCACTTAATTGCAATCAACATAAAAAAAAAAAGAAAGAAAACAGTAGTTTCGAGTTTTTACGAGCGCGTGTTCGCGCGAACTGTGTAGTAGCGGGACGTCACGCTGCTGCGTCTGTCGCTAAGATGGAACGCGAAATTTCATTTACACAACGACGCGAGAGCGCGCGCGTATAACGTCGAGAAATTTCGCGTGTCGGTTTATCCCGCGCGAGAAACAACGTGGTTTAAATTTTTTTACGGTTCGTTGTAATAAGAAAACATTCGATTCGCGCGCGCGCTTCTGTCACTTCGTCTCGTTTGGAAGAGATGTATTTTTCAGAAAAGCGTGTCGTAAAACGCGCGCGACCAAGGAAAAACTTGAATCGTGTAGAAAATAAAATACGCAAAAATTACTTTTTATTAATTAGACTTGATGAACGAGGATCGTGCATCACCCTCAAGTCCATTACGTTAAAATATGATGTATCGGACCCCATGGGGAGAGAGAAAGAGAGAGAAAGAGTGGAACGTTTTGAAACCTCTCGCGTTTTTGTGCGCGCGCGCACGCGCACTCTCGTTTTTACTCTTCTCTCCCTTTTATTGTCTGACACGCTAGATCGCACCCTCAACGGGATACGAACGTTCACGCGAGTGACTGAACTTCACTCATTTCTGCCCCGTAGACGTGCCCCGTCGTCGTTTATGAGTCAACGATATCGTCGCTCAGGCGAGAGCTCCGCGAATTACACTCACGCGTCGAAGAGCCTGCGATTAATCTGCATATTATTACGCCATCCCGTCCGTGCGAGCGCGCTTTAGTGCCTTACACGCCGCCGGTTCACTGGGTTAGAACACGCTTCGGAATACATTTTCCCGCGACGAAACGGCAGATGTCAATGTGACCAAAAAAAAATAAAAAAAATAACAACACGTCGATAAACGGTAGAAATTTTTTTATTCCATAATATTATAAATATTGAAAATTTCGATGTTTTAATGTTGCGAGTCTATTTAAATATTTTTTCTGCCAAGCGATTAAAACATCAGAGCGCGTTGGTTTTTCTTTCTCTTTATTGTCCGATTATAAATGAAGTGAAAACTTTGTTTTTGCGGAAATTCCACTTTT